ACAAGAAGTGAATAAAATAGTAATGAAAAAATATAAGTAATATGACAATGATCAAACCATCCCCAAATACCAATATTTGCTGAACATGTTCCATATTTTGGAAAAATATATTTCCATAATAGTAATGTAGTTGTTGATGAGAATATTGATGAATATGCCCAAAGTGCTCCAATACAAAAAAGGCTTAACACACTTATTACTGTTCTTTTTCCCACTACTCCAAAATAAATATTTCCCATTTTTGTTACACTTGATGGTATTGTTGTTATTTGAGTAATTGGTCTACCTTCTGAAGTTAATGAATGTAATCCACATGTACGGGCTAATGATTCTAACATCCAAAATGCTGTAATACAACAAAGTACAAAGAAAGTAATTGACATTAAAATTGCTAATAATAGTCCACTTGTTCTAAAAGCTAATGGTAATCCAAAAACACCAGTACCAACAATATAATTAATTAAAATACTATAACATGTGATAGAGTCATAAGTTATGGTTGGTTTAGAATGACTTTCAACAAATAATTCTGAATCCATCAAAGAAAATATATTTCTAAGTTCAATTTAATTTAAAAAAAAATGAATTTAATAAAAAAAAAAGTAGAAGAATTAAAAAAGAAGTGAATTTGTAAATATGTTGTTAAGATAAATAAATGACTCTCTATACACTTTATTCAATACCTGCAAGTTTCTTTAATTTTTCCATTTTTTTGATTTTAATAGAATTGATAATAGCTTCATTAGGTGATGATGATTGAAGAAGAAGAGCAATAGTTGTAATTGAATCAGGTCTTCCAAATATTTTAGAAATTTTATTAATTTTTTCTTTTGTTTTCCATTCATTTTTATCAAATGATTTTTTATTGTCAATGATATGTTTAGAAAGAATTATTGGATCTGGTCGTTCACCAATTTTTTGTTTAATATGATCACTTTTAAGAACTAAACTTCCATTACGAATTGCTTCTTCTGAAGTTTCAGAAACTAAAAATGGTGATATTTTTTCTAAACTATTTCTTCTTCCTGTTAAACGTGCTAATTTGTCTTTCTTTTTATTAGCTTTTTGAAGTTTATTCATTGTAGCTTCTATTTCTTTTAATATTTGAATATTAAGTTCATTTGAATATATACCTTTTTCTGACTCTTCATCTACTGGAAACACAAGAAATTCTGGATTAATCGGTTGAACAATTGTTGATGATGAATCATTCCCCCATCCATTTTTTGAATACTGTTCATTACTTGTTTCTTCTATCTCTTTAACTGTATTTGAAACTCCAAATATTATACAAGTTTCTGTTGTTTCTGATGTACACAAACTATCATTCACTGTTGACATTAAAGTAATTTAAATTTTAAAGTTAGGGAGTTCTCTAATAATCTTTGATATTTTTATTATTTTTTGTTTCTTTGTTTTTCATAGAATTTCTTTAAATAAATCTCCTCTTTTTATTTTTATTCATTATTTAATTTTGTTTTTATTTATTTATTATTCATTCTGTATTTTTAAAACATTGTTTTAAAAATAAATCTCTCGCACTTTTTTTTTTATCAATTAGACAACAAGATAATTTTAAAAATAACTAATCTTCGAAAATAAAATTGTTTCAAATTCATTTCTATTTGTTTTTCTTTATCTTTTTAAAAAAATACATAAAAAGTAGTAAATAATAAAAAAAGTCTTTTTCAACTTCAAGCAATTAAAATTCCATTATTTGAATAAATAATTGAACTAAATCAATCAATTTTATTTTTGCTTTTAAAACTATGTTTTGTTCGTCTAACTTTTACTTCTTTTTTTTCTTTTTTGTAATGATTCCAGCATCAAATTCAGACATTTTTCTCATCCCTTCTTTTGGTTCTTTTTTCTTTTCTTTTGGTTTTGTTAAAAAGCCATCTTGTTTTTTAATGACAGACATTACAGATGTGGGAGTGTCTCTAATACCGAAACTTTTACAAATATGACCAATATGTAATTTTTTAATTGAGAATATTTTTCTTAACTCTCCACGATGAGTTGTGTATGATCTTAAGTGAGCTTGGAATGACTTAATTGCCATTTCTTTTAATTCTTCATTATCAATAAGTAATTTTTCGACTTGTAATTGCATTTCATGTAATCTGCTTATTACTTTTTTATCTCCTCCTGCCATATTCAAAGATTTTACTACCTCATCTCGTTTCATTTCTTCAATAATAACACCTTCATTTCTTAATAAATTAACATACTCTCCTTCTGATTCTAGTAACATTAATAATGCATTTCCATTTCTTCCAATTCGTGCTGTTCTTCCAACTCGATGAATATATTCCGATGTTTCCCCTGGTGGATCATATTGAATAATCCAATCAATATCTTTTAAATCAATTCCTCTAGCAGCAACATCAGTTGTAAATAATACAGCTTTTTTACTTTTAATAAATTTTTGCATACCGTCATGTCTTTCTACAGTTGTTAAATCTCCATGTAATCTAAAAAGTGAGGTTTCTGGTAAAATAGGAGTTTTATCCATAAATTGAAGTTGAGAGAATAACGAGTAATGATAATTAACTGATTGAATACATGAAAAAAATACAATAATTTTTCTTTGAATAGACTCTTTTAAGAATGTTCTTAAACATGCAATTAAATAAGCTAATCGATATTTATCAGTTATCAGCATTGCGTATTGTTTTAAAGTTGAAGGTAAAATTAATTTATCTTCTATTTTTTCTTCATTAATTAATTTTTCTGTTTTCTCTTGACTATTTCCGTTTTCTTTTATTAATTTTAATTTCTTTCTTTCTTTTGCATTTTCTCTTTTATCTCCATCAATAAATACAGGATTTTTAAGTGCGAGATTAGACAACTTCTTTACACTTTCAGTCAAAGTAGCACTTACTAAAATACTTGTTCTGTTTTTATTAACATGATTTATAATCTCAATCACATCCTTTTCAAATCCTGCATCAAGAACTCTATCTGCTTCATCCATAATAAGAAATTCTACTTTATCTAATTTTAAGTTGTTTGTTGAATTGATATGATCTAATAATCTTCCTGGTGTTCCTACTAAAATATTTACTCCTTTTCTTATTCTTGCTTTTTCACTTTTCTTACTATCACCTCCAACTACAATTGATGGTACTAATCCTATAATTGATGTTGTTAATATAGTTAAGACATCATATACTTGTTGAGTTAGTTCTCTTGTTGGTGTTAATATTAAACAAAATAATCCATCAGTTCTTTTTAACTTCGGGTGTTTATTTAAAATCATAGTTATTGTAGGAAGTAGATATGCTAATGTCTTACCACTTCCAGTTTGTGCTTTTACAAGACAATCTTTTTCTTGTAATATTTCAGGAATAGCTGCGTATTGAACATGTGAATATGTTTTAACTTGTAATTTATCTTCACATGTTTGAATAAGTCGTGAATTAATTTTCAATGAATTTAGAGGGTGTTTAGAAAGAACGCTCATGAATAATATTTTTTAACATAAAATTAAACCCTTTTTTGTTATAGATAAATTTATGTTATTCATGAATTAAAAATCAAATTAAAAAAAAATAAAAAAAATAATTAATTGTTATAATAATGTTAAAACTCAAACTTCATAAAGAAAAATAATTCAAAGAAAAAAATTTGTACTAAAAAAGAAAGAATAAAACTTCTTGATGTCACAAAATGATTCTCAAGATATTATTTGTTCTAATGAGGTATTAGAAGAATACAATACAATAAATAGTATTTATCCTAATTCTGTTATTTATGTTAAACCAAATGAATTTAGAATGAACATTAATGTTTCATTAGAAAATGAAATTCCATTTAAAATTATTCCAATTAGAAATGTTCCAAGAATGTATATGAATAAAAATGAAGTTAAAATTAAATATTTGACACCAATTACTATACTTATTAGTTATAATGAAGAAAAACCATCTTTTCAAATGAGTAGTCTTTGGTTATCAATTAAAGATATGATAGAACTTAAAACAAGAATTGAAGATGAGTTTCAACAATTTGACTTTTCAGGATTGTTTATGTTATTGTATGAAGTCCTTTCAAACTTATCACCAGAACAACTTGATATATTAAGTTTTAGTGAGGTCCCAATCTCACGAGAAGAAAGAGAAAAAAATATTATTCAATATAATTATGATGAAACTAGAAAAGTATTTTATTCAACTCCACTTATCACTTGTGATGTTTGTTATGAAGAATATCCTCCTTCAAATTTTACTATATTGTCTTCTTGTGGGCATTATCTTTGTAATGAATGTTTAAAAGAGTCTGTGGCAACTTCATTGACAAATGGTACTTATGTGGAATGTCCATATGCTGATTGTAAAGCAGAGGTATTACCTTGGGAAATGAAAAAAAGTTGTCCAAAAGATTTAATTGATAAATATGAAAATCAGCTTGTTCTAATTTATGTAAAGAGTGGAGGAGATGATTTTATTGTTTGTCCATTTTGTTCCTATTCAGGAATTATGGTAGATCCCATTGTTTATAAAAAGTCTACACCAATACAGTGTCCTCGATGTGAAAAAACTTTTTGTAGTAAATGTTTATCAAATAATCATATTGGACAATGTTATGATGCATCAAATTGTCTAGAAAAATATAAATCACAACAATACTATAATGAAATAGTAGGTGAGTTAATGACAAAAAATATCAAGAAATGTCCAGTTTGTAAATGTCCCGTTATTAAGTCTTATGGATGTAATAAAATAACATGTATTTGTGGTACATATTTTTGTTATAATTGTGGTGAAAAAATTGATGGATATGAACATTTTCATAACAGTAAATGTCCATTGTATACTGAAAAATCATTATTAGAAGATAAACTTCATGACGTTGATACAACAAAATTGGATAAAATAATGGCAAATCCAAATAAGTTTCCATTTTATTGTGTACCTTGTGAATATTTATTTGCAGTTAATATGGACCAACTTGTCATTGTTTGTCCAAAATGTGGTAAACGTAAATGTAGGCATTGTGATGAGTATGGTATTAGTGTTGGACATATTAAGACAGTACTTGATTCAGCGAAATATTCAGATTTTAAAGCACCTCAAGGTTATGAAAAATGGGAGTGATTGGAATTTTGATAGTGATATATTTGTTTTTTATTCTTTTTTCTTCAAAATTTTATTTAAATAAAAAATTAAACTTCAAATACTTAATTTTACTTTATAATGAGTAAGCGTCAGTTTAAAAGAAAATCTTTAGCAGATAGAATGAGCTTGGAAACATTATTCAGTGAAGAACAAAAACCTAATAAAAGAAATAATGAAGAAAATACAATACTAATTGGAAGAAATAAAAAAATAATGGAAAGAATAAAGAAATTATCTCAAGAAAAGTTAAAAACAATTTATGAAATATTATTCGGAATGTCACAAGGTTCATCTAACTTATTAAAAGAGATATTAAATTTTAAAGGATACAGTCATATCAAAAAAGAATCACCTGAAATTATCAAAAAATTAATAATAAAAAGACTTCTTCAAAGAACAAAAGCTGATATTAAACTCTTTGCTAAAATATTTAGATTCGATTTAAATGAAGAATATAATGAACTTTGTTCTAAAATATGTGATTATATTTTTAGTCCTTATTTTGTTGATATCAATGCTATTTCATCAAATGTAACTCAAGACACTTCAACTAAAACTCCTCTTCCTCAACCCCTAATTGTGCCAACTACAGAAAACCAATCACCTAAAACATTAAAACCACAATCAAAAAGAAAATTAAAAGAAAAAATGGTTCTTGAAAACTTGAAAACTCCAAAAATTGAAGTAGAACATTTGATTCTGGAATTACAAAAAGATATTGAAACAGGATTAGGGTATTCAATGAAAATCCCTCAACGACCATCTCAAATTGATAACTCAAATAAAGGTCCAAAAAAAGAATCAAAAATTCCTTCTACTTCTTTAGTTCAAAAAAAAAATACTAAAAGGCAGTCAATAGTCATGAAAATTGGTGATTCAGAAGACACCACAGAGTTAGAAGAATTTGTTTTATAAAACGTATGTTTATGATGACTTTTTAAGAAATGTATTTTGGTATTAATTTTTGTTGATTACTATGCTTTCTTTACTTTCTTTTATGTTATTTTTATATTGTTTTGAGTTATATCAAAAAACTATACAACAGAATGAGATATCTTATATAACCAAATATAAGAATAGATATAACCTGCAAATCAAATAATATACAAAAAAAAATAAGAACTCTTACTAACAAAGAATCATAAGTGATATAAAAATAAATGGAAAATAATATCATCTGCAAGGATAAAAATACAACAACTGTGGTCTTCATAACCTCAATAATAATAATGTGAATTATTTCACTTATGTATTCATAATTTCCCTCTTTACCTATATTTTAACAATATTTCCAAACATATTACATTGTAATAAAAATAGATGTTATAATAAAGGAGAAAGAAGATATAGACAATATCAAAATAAAGAATGAGAAACAAAGCAAGTAAGAAATAAAAGGTAATGAAAAGAATAGAAATAGAAGTAAGAATAATTGGAAAAGAATAAGATGGAATTATAAAATGATAAAATATGAAAGAGACAACTTCTAAATAAACATAAAGAAGATGAATATCAATATAATATTACTACAATTAATTTCTTGAAATGAATCTATGAAAATAACACCAATATAGATTTCCTAAATATTAATTTATATGATATATTAATTGAAAATAGAATTATTAATAGAATATGCATAATCACTTTAGATGAATTAAACCATGCAATAAAATTCATTGCTAATTGGAAATCACATAGAATTGATAAAATACAATATTTATTAAATACTTAAAACAACAAAGAATTTTTTATTAAAATTATTTAATGAAATGTTGTATAATCCTACTAACGTCCCTCTTCAATTTATCCAAGGAAGGACAATATTAATATACAAGAAAGGAGATAAATTATATAAACAAATTACAGACCAATAACTTGTTTAAACTGTATTTTAAAAGTATATACATCTTTATTAAAGATGAAAATAGAAATCCAATTAATGTTAAATCAAATTGAAAAACAATTATCACAAAATGAAATTTGATGTAAAAAATATACATATTATCAAAAGAATGATTATTATACAATAATATAATCATTCAGTTATTAATTAAGGTTAAATGGAAGTAGGTAGAAACGTACTATGATATTTCTAAAGCATATGATAGTATTAATCATCAATTTGTTAAATAATGTTTAATTTATTTTAACATCCCATTAGTTGTAATTAAAAGTATATTATATATATTAAATATTACACAACTATAATTATATTATAATCAACAAAATGTAGGTATAATTAATGTAGAAAGATGAATAATACAATATGATAGTTTATCTAAATTATTATTTGTATTATCTATTGATATATTATCTAAATAATTAGATAAATAAATTAATAAG